CACGTCCTTAGTTGAAGACCTAGATGTACTTTCTGCTCTCTACGTCATTTGGCTGCGGAGTACAGTTGAGATCTTCTGGTTTGTTTATGTACGCCGTTATTTCGGATCCAATTTTTGATGAATAATATCATATTATTATTATTATGGCCAGAGGAATTTAGTAGTTTTCTATCACGTAACTGTGAAAGCTCCGCTGACTGGTTCGGGCCATTAATGGCTCCCCTGAAAAAACATTGACTTATATTATCAAAAGAGATTATGGGACACTGGAAATTGAATTTATTTTACCTCACGAAAGGCGCTCAGAAGGTGTCGTTGTATTATCAACTTAGAGAAAATTGAGTAAGCTCGCGAAAGATTACAGAAAACAAAAAACGTACCGATATTCTTTTAGGTGGATAACCCGGGGAACTAAAGAAACAGAAACAAAAAAATACGACATAAAATAAACGAAACAAAACAGAAACAAAGAAATTAAAAAGTCAAAATAAAAACAAAAAAGTTCAAAAACCCTGATGAAAACGGAATCTTCGAACATGGATAAATGCTAAGACAATATCGAGAGAAAGCAGTGAGGCTGAAAGGGGATTTTCACTGCATTGCATGAGTAATCCGGCTCCGTGTGTCAATGCCTTACACAACACAAAAGAACAACACGGACAGAGTAGAACAACAGAACATTTTCTTCTTTCACTGAGAGCCAAAGCTCAACATGTCTGTAAATCGAGAAATTAACAGGAGGAACAAGGTTTGGCTTCAGAAACACGAGCAGACAAATCTGGCTGGCCGGCTCTCTGGGCCTGGCAAATTGGCAGACAGGAGATTGTTGGCCAGGATTAAAGGCGCAGTCAAGCGGTGGCAGAAATGTCGTCTGCGCGACGCCGGAACGGTTGGCTGGGTGTGCTGCCATCTTGTCTCTGTCGACATGAAGGAGTTGCAAGGCCAGAAAAAAAAGGAAATTCTAGGCCTAGCTTCCCGCTTCCAGACATTCTCGTGACTGTCTCGGAGGCCACGAATCTCCACGTACCAGAGCAGTCAAAACGAGCAACACTGTAACGCGACAGGGGATTTTCTTTCTACAAAGTCGGGACTTTCTTTCTAGGCTTGTTTGTTAGTCCAATGCAAGATGTAGCTCTCCAACAACAACATTCACTCTGTTTTATCAGCTGTTTTCCGTTTCCAGAATATACACCCATCTGCTCTGATCAGATTTCGAAACTACTGCGGTTAATAATTCATTTTATGCTCTCTATGGTCAGAAACATTTGTTTCAGAAACAACTTTTTCCTTTATATCTTGCAAGACCTATTGTGTTCCTCAAAATCTGACTTAGTGATTGCTTTGGAATAGATTCAAGGCGTATACCAGATGAAATATTTAGTTAATCCTCTAGATGGTTCACTACTCAGAAGTTTTCCACTTTGGAACGTTTTCTTCAGACTTGGTGGATTCGGTCAATAAGGTAAGATTCGACACTCACATTTCCATGGTAACAAGAATTGTTGGCTGTAATACTGTTCTCTTGCTGTCATTTTCCACTTCAAGAAATCACTATAAGACACTCACGTAGGTGCGGTAGTCCATTGAAAGTAACAAGTTGAGTAACAATTGATTTCAAAATGTTTCAAATGACCTCCGACTAAACTGTGTCTCACCCCC